CCCCCCCCCCACCTCACCCTACCCCTCCAACATTTGTCAGTCTATTTCATGCATCCATACCTCTGGTACTGTTTTGTTTCTGTTTATTCTGTTCATTAAATTCCACATATTAGTGAGATCATATGATACTTCTTTCTCTGAGTGGCTTATTTCACTTAACAATCTCCAGGTCCATCCATGCTGTCACAAAGGGTAAGAGTTCCCTCCTTTTATACCACATCGTACTCCACTGTGTAAATGAACCACAATTTTTTTAACCACTCATCTACTGATGGGCACTTGGGCTGTTTCCAGATCTTGGCTATTGTAAATAACACTGCTATGAACACAGGGATGCATGTATTCTTTCTGATTGGTGTTTGGGGATTCTTAGAATATATTCTCAGAAGTAGGATCACTGGGTCAAAAGGCAGTTCCATTTTTAATGTTTTTGAGGAAACTCCATACTGTTTTCCACAGTGGCTGCACCAGTCTGCATTCCCACCAAGAGCACTAGGGTTCCCTTTTTCCCACATCCTTGTCAGCACTTGTTTGCTGATTTATTGACAGCAGCCATTCTGACTGGTGCTAGGTGATACCTCAGTGTAGTTTGGGCGTTTTTTTAATCCTCACCCGAGGACATATTTAGAGGAAGAGAGGGAGGGAAACTTTGATGTAACAGAAACATCCGTCAGCTGCCTTCCACAAGGTCCCTGACTAGGGAGCAAACCCTCAACCCAGGTATAGAACTGATATGATACCTCATTGTGGTTTTAATTTGCATCTTTCTGATGATTAGTGACGTTGAGCACCTTTTCATATGCCTATTGGCCTTCTGTATATCCTCTTTGGAGAAGTGTCTATTCAGGTCCTTTGTTAATTGGATTGTCTTCCTGGTGTTGAGTTGTGTAAGTTCTTTATATATTTTGGAGATTAACCCCTTATCAGATGAATCATTGACAAATATATTCTCCCATATGGTGGGTTCCCTTTTCATTTTGTCGATGGTTTCTTTTGCTGTGCAGAATCTTTAATTTGATATAGTCCCACTTCTTTATTTTTTCCTGTTTCCCTTGTCCTCGGAGACATATCTGCAAAAATATTGCTCTGAGAGATGTGAGATTTTACTGCTTATGTTTTCTTCTAGGATTTTTATGATTTCACCACTTACATTTAAATTTTTTATCCATTTTGGGTTTATTCTTGTGTATGGTGTAAGTTGGTGGTCAAGTTGCATATTTTGGCATATACCTACCTGTCCAATTTTCCCAGCACCATTTATTGAAGAGACCGTTTCTCCTCCATTGTATGCTCTTGCCTCCTTTGTCAATGAGTTCTATTTTCATATTAAATACATTAAAACTTATATTTTCACATTTAGCAAATAATTTTCCAGTTTATTTTTCATCTTTTCATTTCTGTTGTTTTTCCATGGAGGTTTTTATTAATTTCATGTATTATAAATGATTTTTTAAAAAAAGAAAACACACACCAGTCTATTGATTTTGAGAGAGTAAGGGGGGAGGAGAGAGAAACACTGATGTGAGAGCACAACATTGATGCCACCTCCTGCACGCCTCCTGCCAGGGACTGAGTGGTAACCCAGGCATATGCCTTTGAACAGGCAACCTCCTGGTGCACAAGACGAAGCCCAACCAACTGAACCACACCAGCCAGGGCTCTTTTTCTTTTAGCAGATCAACATTTAAGTACAGCTTCCATTCCTTCAATAGCTTAATAATTTTTCCATCTTTTCATTTTCATTTCACTTTTTTTTTAAAAAATATATCTTTATTGATTTCAGAGAGAGGAAAGGAGAGGGAGAGAGAGAGATAGAAACATCAATGATGAGAGAGTCATTGATCGGCTGCAGCCCGCAACCCGGGCATGTGCCCTGACCAGGAATTGAACCCTGATCGCCTGGATCCTAGGTTGACGCTTAACCGCTGAGCCACGCCCGGCCGGGCTAATTCACTAATTTTTAAAAAGAAAAAGAGAGAAGGAGAAAAATGTAGACACACACTAGAGAAATCCAAGAGGAAAAATTGGAGAGAAAAACAAAATGGCTACATATATTTCTGAGCAAAAATACAGTACTCCATTACAACACTATCACTGTACTGCAATACTATTACATTTTTTTACCATAGGTTTCATGTAAGTGGAAGCACTGGTTTTATAAAAAACATTTAGCTTAATTTAACCACAGGAGGGCAGTGTTTATCAAACAAAATGCCATTCATTGGAACTGTTTATGGAACTACGTAACACAATTTTTAGAAACTACTTTATGACAATCTGAATAACTGCTCAGAAGAATTAAAATCAACACCAGGTATAAGTAAAGCATGATAAAATAGTTTTTTAGAGCATGCTAATAGATCTTATAGATTCTCACATCCAGCTAATAAAAAAAGTGTAAGCCCTGGCCAGTGTTGCTCAGTGGTTAGAGGTGAGCCAGTGCACCAAAGTGTCCTGGGTTCAATTCCCGGTCAAGGCCCCGCACCTAGGTTGCAGGTTAGATCCCTGGCCCTGGTCAGAGCGTGTGTGGGAGGCAACCAATTGATGTGTCTCTCTCACATCGATGTTTCTCCCCCGCCCTTCCTCTCCTTTCACTGTCTAAAATCAATGGGGAGAAAATATCTTTGGGTAAGGATTAACAAAAACTATACACACACACACACACAGTCTAAGTAAGCAATAATCTAGATAGTCCCTACAATTTGAGTTTGACTCTAGCCTAAATGACAGCAGTGTTTCAATTATTGATGCACTTTTGAGTTCATTCCAAATATGCACAGATACGTAGAACCTGCATTTTGTGTAATCTAGATAATTTAATTTTACATTTAAAATGTACATATAAAACACGGGAATCTTTAT